TATAGATGATTTTAAAAAATAAATGTATGTCAATAAAATCCACATTTTATATTATTACAGTTACAGCAATGCTATTCCATCTTAGTGAAAGTCATGATCACATCCCCCTATAATAACATCTGCCAGTAAGAAACAACCTAAGGAAGCAGGTAGTGTTACTTTAGGGAAAGGTGGCAGCAAGCATAGAAAGATATGCAAGTTCAAGTTAAAGCAGAAATTGTATTAAGTCTTTTTTTCAAATAGCAACATAAAGTACCAAAAAAGGATTCTGACAATGTGACCACCGCGAGAATCCAATCAATCATAAAACTGTTTCTCTTTTATTTCACCTTTAAGAAACTGCTGCCTTGAAGATGAGTTGCTTTTGAAACTGAATGGGTTTGAAAAGGTGATATGGCTAGGTGTCAGCAGTTAGCCTGTGTATATTCTGTTGAAGTCAGTAGGAGCATTAAGTAAAATAAGTCTTGAAGAGAAAAAGCAAGCTTCTATCCAAAGAACCCATAGGTTTAGTGAAGTTTTATTTTAAATACAGATACACCTGTAGAATTGCAGTACTTTGGGATTTCTTTTATTTTGGAGGTCTCTAACTTTGTTCCTCCCCAACTTGTTGCAAAAAATACAAATTCAAGTGATTATTATACATGACTACAGTTTTGTTTTTATGTTGGTTTTATCTGTGTGTTGGTTAAGGAGGTTAATGTTGGGTATGAAGTCTAATTTTTTAATCCTCTCAATACATCCCTTTATATGAAAACAATTGTTTCCATTTCCGAGATACTTGAATTATACTATGCTCTCTTGCCTATAGGCTTTCCTCTGTGACAAACCAAGAACAAATATTAATCTCTCCAGTGTATATCTATGGGTTTTAAGAGGATTTTATTTATCTGTTAAGAACATTTTTATCCCCCACTTGCTCCAAGTATCTCAGAGTGGTATACACCACCCCTCGTCCATTTTAGCATCATAACACTCCTGTGAGGTAGGTTCAAAGGTCATTCAGAAGCTTAGTGGCACAATGGACATTTGAACTCGGTCTCCCAGATCCTAGACCAACATTTCAATCACAACACTAAGAAGTCATATTCCTCACCCTTAATGAGGTAAATTGATCTGGGATGTTTTGTCCTCCATGTAAGTTTCTGTAAATTGTAGCACATAATATGATCATGTTTGGGCCATTTTTACACCCAATTATGTTGAATAAAAATTGAAATGAATTCGTAGGGTGACACAAACAAAATAATATTTTCTTCCTGGTGTGTTCACTGCTGTAATATTGTACTTGAGAAATACTTAAGAAATAAGAGTATTTTTTCCTGTGCAGCTGGTGTCATGCTCAGTGAAACCCTCACATTTTGTTTAGTTATTACTTATTTTGGAGTCTATATAATCACTACGCCAAATCAGTTGTTTCCACATTCTCACAATGATGCCAGTCACCAATAAGAGTTAAATTGAGGTTTATTAAAATTATTAAATAGCTTAACTGAACATAGCCCATTTCACTTTGTTGTTTTAAGCTGATTCCTTGTGAAATGATGTGGGGACACAGGTTTAAAATGATTAAAATGTGGAATTCGCTGCCAGAGGATGTAGTGATAGCCACAGGAATAAACAGTGTTAAAAAGGAATTAGATTTCATAGAGAATAAGTTGATCAATAGCTATTAGGAGATAACAGGGCGGCGCGGCACTAGCAGTCACATCGGGGGAGCTCCCGAGTGACTGATCAATTCTTCAGCTTAAAGGGGTCTCCAAACTAACAGAGACCACCCTACACCCCGGGGGAGGGGTAGTAGGGAGCAAGGAGCTTGAGTTAGGGGTCCTGACGAGGGAGGCAACCCATCAGGAGACCCCAAACTCACTCTGAAGCAAGCCGAGGAAGAGAAGCTCACCATGGTGGGCAGAGCAGTTGCTACTGTGGAGAAGCCGAGAGGAAGATAAGCAATTGAAAATACAAGTGTATAACTGTGAGTCAAGTGAAAACTTTTCTGTGTTCTCAAGAAAAAGACTGTCATGATTGTTAACTCCCAATAGACTGGAATTCCTCTCCCCAATACTACTCAATTGGCCAATAACGGCAGGGAAGACATTCCAATCAAGAGTGGTGGGGAAATGAAGGGGGTGAAATACCAACAAGCTAAAGGAATATCAGTAAATAAAGACTGTGACTGTGACAGCATAAGATGCTTTGGAATTAAATGCAATATGAAGTAAACGGTTTATTGTGGATTTTAAAAGACCTAAAAGAAAAAGATAAGGTATTTACAGAGGAGAGGTTTGAGAACCAGCCTCTATACCAGCCACCCCCACCCTATAGCTACCTTGCATCGCTAGCTATTGTTCTCTCCAACGGGAGGGGGGCAGGAGAGCCCTTATAAATTTTTCTTTTTGGCTTGATGGGGGATTGGCAGAAGAAAAGATTTGGAAGGGGGTGCAACGGGCGAAAGAATAATCGATTGTAAGACTATTGGAGATGTGTAAAGGGAAGATCACCCCTCCCAAGGTTAATAGAGGAGTGAGATCATGTCGAAAGGAACTGGGAAGGCAGGACCTTGAATGGGCAGTAAACAATAACAAAAATCTAGGCGTGAAGCCAAAAATAATTTTTGGCAAACGAGACAGTGATAATCTTAAACAAGTCAAAATAAAGAGATTATTGTTCCGGGGAAAAAGCCAAATTTGAGACAAAGCCAAATAAGAACTGAAAAAGAGCTGAGACTGACTGTGAATTTGTATTAAGCTCAGAGGAAAGTGGTAAAAATGTCTC